TTTGTTTTAAAGAGAGATTTTTGCCATAGGGAGCGTACGCTTGTCAGAGAGACAGAGACTGAGAGATAAAAATCACTCCCCCAGGGGGATAGCCATGCCACAATCCCTTCTCCTCTACTCTCTTCTCACGATTTTGGGCATGCACACACACGCTCCCAGCGTGAGTTTTAAACTGTCTGGGTCCAGGACTCGAGCCATAGTCAGCTATGTGGGAGTCCAACAATGCAACCATTACGCCTTCTGCTGGTCCCATGCTGGTGTGATTTTCAAGCTGCCGGGTCTGGGACTCAAATTGTGGTCGCCCATGTGGGAGTCTAGCACCTTAACCATCACACCCCCTGCCGGCCCCTCGACTTACTTTTAAGTATTCCATTGTTGGGACCAGCAGTTGGCGTAATGGCTATGTCGCTGGACTCCCATGTAGTCAACCGCAGTTCGAGTCCCGGACCCGGTGGCTTAAACTCACACCAGGCGCATGTGCATGCGTGCCCAAGATCCCGAGAGGAGAATGGAGGAGAAGGGATTGCGGTGTTGCCATCCACCCCGGAGGGTGATTTCTCGCTTTCTCTCTCTCTGTCTTTCTGGCAAGCACATGCGCCCTATAGCAAAAACCTCTCAAAAAAAATAATAAATAAATAAATAAATATTCCACTGCATCAAAATGTTCGCTCGGCCTGCAAATCTGAGTCCCGTGAAGGTTGGCGGCCAGGTGCCTCTGCCTTTCTTGGCAGTCAAGGTCAAATCAAAGGCTTTTGGCCCATGGTTTGTCTAGAACCACCCTTCCTGAGCTGGGTGGGAAGGATTTCACACGCTCCAGGCACCCCGCGGTCATGCTGAAGCAGGTCCTGAGGTTAGGCCGTTGACCGGTAGCTAGACTGGTCTTCCCTGTTCCCCTTGTTTTCTTTGATTATTTTTTCCTCAATGACTTAGAATTAAGTTCAAGTAAAATCAACATTCGTGTGATTTCACCTGGCAGGTGTTCAGTAAATATCTGTGGCACAAATGAGGTTGTTCCAGGGACATCCGAGGAGCTGGTCTGTGGTACGTTGGCAATGCAGCACTCTGTGAGGTTGACCTACGCAGGAAGGTTCCAGGTTCAAGCCACAGAAGTCCCTGAGTAGGCGGAACACATACACGCCCACGATCCGGGGCCGGCTGAGGCTGGGGGCGGGTCACCACAGGAAGACCCTATTGGGGGTGCTGTCTGTCTCCTTATGTCTCACTTGCTCTTAGAGTAAACCAAGAAAGAAACTTAAAAAGGGACCAGCAGATGTCATAATGGTTACGTCGCTGGCCTCCCATGTAGTCGACCATGGTTCGACTCCTGGACCCGGCAGCTTAAAACTCACACCAGGCACATGTGTGTGAGTGCCCCAAGTCCCAAGAAGAGAATGGAGAAGCAATTGCAGTATGGCCATCCTGCTGGGGGGTGGGGGTGATTTCTTGCTTGCTGTCTCTCTGGTGAACACATGTACTCTGTAGCAAAAAATCTCTCTTAAAACAAACAAAAAAAGGAACCAGCACTTGGAGTAATGACTATGTCGCTGGACTCACATCAAGTCAACCGGTTTGCGTCCCGGACCCGGTGGCTTAAACCTCACACCGGGCGCGTGTACGTGTGTGCCCAAGATCCCGAGAGGAGAATGGAGGAGAAGGGATTGCGGCATGGCCATCCCCCCGGGGGGTGATTTTTCATTTTCTGTCTCTCTGTCTCTCTCTCTGTCTTTCTGGTGAGTGCAGACACCATATGGCACCTCTCGAAAAGAAAAAAATAAAAAATTTAAATTAATTAAAGCAAACAAACAAAATGAACTTAAGAAAAAAAAAAGCCACCCAGCCCATGGCCTGGTGGTTAAGGTGGCTGGATCTTACATGGACAACAACATGACTGGAATCCTGGACCAGGTGGCTCACAAAACACAGCAGGCACGTGTATGTGTGTACTTGAGTTCCAAGAGGAAGGAGAGATGGGGAAGTCGGGGTGGTTGAGTGACCATTCCCTCTGGGGCATGCTTTCTGACTTTTCTGACCCCCACTCTCTTGGAAGTATGCACACGCCCTCTGACAAATTAAAAAAAAAAAAAGAAAAGAAAAGAAAAGACATTCAGGATAGGTCGGCCAAAGTTGTTTTTCCTTCCCAGGGGAGCTGACCATTGGTGGCTGTATCAGTCAGTTACAGCTGCGTAACAACCCACAACAGCAGCCATTTTATTGCTTCTTATGAGTCTGCTTGGTAGACTGAGTTCAGTTGGATGGTTCTTCTGCTGGTCTCAATTGAGATCTCTCCATAACAACTAGGCTGAGATTTATTCATTTATTTATTTTATTTATTTATGTTTGTTTATGTTTAAAATGAGATAACTTTAGGACCAGCAGATGGCGTAGCAGTTGTGTTGCTGGACTCTCACATGGCCGACCACTGTTCAAGTCCCAAACCTGGTGACTTGAAAACCACACTGGGGGGGACCAGCAGTTAGCGTAATGGCTATGTTGCTGGACTCCCATGTAGTTGACCGTAGTTCGAGTCCTGGACCCAGCGGCTTAAACTCAGGCCAAGTGCGTGTGCGTGCGTGCCCAAGATCCCGAGAGGGATCTCTGTCTCTCTGTCTCTGTCTGGCGAGTGCACCAAAAACCTCTCAAAAAAAAAAAAAAAACAAAACCACACTGGGCATGTGTGCGGTGAGTGCATGCCAAAGATCCCAGGAGGAGAAGGGGTTATGGCTTGCTCATCCCCCAGGGGAGTGATGAGCTATCCTGAATGTCTTTCCCTCTCAATGTCTCTTGTCTTTCTGTGTCTCCAGTGAGTACACGCACCCTAGCACTAAAGTCTCTTAAAAAAAAAAAAAAAGGAGGAACCAACAGTTAGCGTAACGGCTATGTCGCTGGACTCCCACGTAGTCGACCGCGGTTCGCGTCCCGGACCGGGTGGCTTAAACTCACGCTAGGCACGTGTGTGCGCACGTCCAAGGTCCTGAGAGGAGAATGGATTGCGGCGTTGCCATACAACCTAGGGGGTGATTTCTTGCTTTCTGTCTCTCTGTCTTTTTGGCAAGCGCATGCGTCCTATAGCAAAAACCTCTCCAAAAAAAAAAAAATAAATAAGAATCA